AGTTAGTCCGAAATAGTAAGTCAACCAATCAGTCCGAGTTAGTAAGTCAACCAGTCAGTCCGAGTTAGTAAGTCAATCAGTCAGTCCGAGTTAGTAAGTCAACCAGTTAGTCCGAGTAAGTAGGTCAATCAGTCAGTCCGAGTTAGTAAGTCAACCAGTCAGTCCGAGTTAATAAGTCAACCAGTTAGTCCGAATTAGTAGGTCACTCTCTCCGAGTTAGTCAGTCAGTCAGTCAGTCTGAGTTAGTAAGTGAATCAGTCCGAGTTAGTAAGTCAGTCAGTCAGTCCGAATTAGTAAGTCAACCAGTTAGTCCGCGTTAGTAAGTCGGTCAGTCGGAGTTAGTAAGTCAACCAGTCAGTCCGAATTAATAAGTCGACCAGTCAGTTCGAATTAGTAAGTCAGTCAGTTCGAGTTAGTAAGTCTTTCAGTCAGTCCGAGTTAGTAAGTCAGTCAGTCCGAGTTAGTAAGTCAACCAGTTTGTCCGAGTTAGTAAGTCAGTTAATCAGTTCGAGTTAGTAAATCAGTTAGTCAGTTCGAGTTAGTAAGTCAGTCAGTCCGAGTAAGTAAGTAAACCAGTTACTCCGAATTAGTAAGTGAGTCTGTCCGACTTAGTAAGTCAGTCAAGCAGTCCGAATTAGTATGTGAACCAGTCAGTCCTACTTAGTAAGTCAGTCAGTTCGAGTTAGTGAGTAAATCCGAGTTAGTAAGTCAACCAGTTAGTCCGAAATAGTAAGTCAACCAATCAGTCCGAGTTAGTAAGTCAACCAGTCAGTCCAAGTTAGTAAGTCAATCAGTCAGTCCGAGTTAGTAAGTCAACCAGTCAGTCCGAGTTAGTAAGTCAACCAGTCAGTCCGAGTTAATAAGTCAACCAGTTAGTCCGAATTAGTAGGTCACTCTCTCCGAGTGAGTCAGTCAGTCAGTTAGTCGAGTTAGTAAGTCAACAAGTCAGTACGAGTTAGTAACTCAGCCAGTCCGAGTTAGTAAGTCAACCAGTTAATCCGAATTAGTAAGTCAGTCAGTCAGTCCGAGTTAGTAAGTAAACCAGTCTGTCCGAGTTAGTAAGTCAACCAGTCAGTCCGAGTTAGTATGTCAATCAGTCAGTCCGAATTAGTAAGTCAACCAGTCAGTCCGAGTTAGTAAGTCAGTCAGTCCGAGTTTATAAGTTAGTCAGTCCGAGTTAGTAAATCAGTCAGTCCGAGTTAGTAAGTCAACCAGTTAGTCCGAATTAGTAAGTCACTCAGTCCGAGTTAGTAAGGCAACCAGTCAGTCCGAGTTAGTAAGTGAGTCAGTCCGAGTTAGTAAGTCAGTCAGTCAGTCCGAATTAGTAAGTCAACCAGTTAGTCCGAGTTAGTAAGTCAGTCAGTCCGAGTAAGTAAGTCAACCAGTCAGTCCGAATTAATAAGTCAACCAGTCAGTTCGAATTAGTAAGTCAGTCAGTTCGAGTTAGTAAGTCATTCAGTCAGTCCGAATTAGTAAGTCAACCAGTCAGTTCAAGGTAGTAAGTCAGTCAGTTCGAGTTCGTAAGTCAGTCAGTCACAGTTAGTAAGTCAATCAGTCAGTCCGAGTTAGTAAGTCAACCAGTCAGTCCGAATTAATAAGTCAACCAGTCAGTTCGAATTAGTAAGTCAGTCAGTTCGAGTTAGTAAGTCATTCAGTCAGTCCGAGTTAGTAAGTCAACCAGTCAGTTCAAGGTATTAAGTCAGTCAGTTCGAGTTCGTAAGTCAGTCAGTCACAGTTAGTAAGTCAATCAGTCAGTTCGAGTTACTACAGTTCGAGTTAGTAAGTCAGTCAGTCCGAGTTAGTAAGTGAACCAGATTGTCCGAGTTAGTAAGTCAGTTAGTCAGTTCAAGTTAGTAAATCAGTTAGTGAGTTCGAGTTAGTAAGTCAGTCAGTCCGAGTTAGTAAGTAAACCAGTTACTCCGAATTAGTAAGTCAATCAGTCCGAGTTAGTAAGTCAACCAGTCAGTCCTAGTTAGTAAATGAGTCAGTCCGAGATAGTAAGTCAGTCAATCAGTCCGAATTAGTATGTCAACCAGTGAGTCCTAGTTAGTAAGTCAGTCAGTTCGAGTTAGTAAGTGAGTAAATCCGAGTTAGTAAGTCAACCAGTTAGTCCGAAATAGTAAGTCAACCAATCAGTCCGAGTTAGTAAGTCAACCAGTTAGTCCGAGTTACTAAGTCAATGAGTCAGTCCGAATTAGTAAGTCAGTCAGTCCTAGTTAGTAAGTCAACCAGTCAGTCCGAGTTACTAAGTCAATCACTCAGTCCGAGTTACTAAGTCAACCAGTTAGTCCGAGTTAATAAGTCAACCAGTTAGTCCGAATTAGTAAGTCACTCACTCCGATTTAGTAAGTCAGCCAGTTAGTCCGAGTTAGTAAGTCAACAAGTCAGTTCGAGTTAGTATGTCAATCAGTCAGTCCGAATTAGTAAGTCAACCAGTCAGTCCGAGTTAGTAAGTCAGTCAGTCCTAGTTAGTAAGTCAACCAGTTAGTCCGAATTAGTAAGTCAGTCAGTCAGTCCGAGTTAGTAAGTCAACCAGTTAGTCCGAATTGGTAAGTCACTCAGTCCGAGTTAGTAAAGCAACCAGTCAGTCCGAGTTAGTAAGTGAGTCAGTCCGAGTTAGTAAGTCAGTCAGTCAGTCCGAATTAGTAAGTCAACCAGTCAGTCCGAGTTAGGAAGTCAGTCAGTCCGAGTTTGTAAGTTAGTCAGTCCGAGTTAGTAAGTCAGTCAGTCCGAGTTAGTAAGTCAACCAGTTAGTCCAAATTAGTAAGTCAGTCAGTCAGTCCGAGTTAGTAAGTCAACCAGTTAGTCCGAATTAGTAAGTCACTCAGTCCGAGTTAGTAAAGCAACCAGTCAGTCCGAGTTAGTAAGTGAGTCAGTCCGAGTTAGTAAGTCAGTCAGTCAGTCCGAATTAGTAAGTCAACCAGTCAGTCCGAGTTAGGAAGTCAGTCAGTCCGAGTTTGTAAGTTAGTCAGTCCGAGTTAGTAAGTCAGTCAGTCCGAGTTAGTAAGTCAACCAGTTAGTCCAAATTAGTAAGTCAGTCAGTCAGTCCGAGTTAGTAAGTCAACCAGTTAGTCCGAATTAGTAAGTCACTCAGTCCGAGTTAGTAAAGCAACCAGTCAGTCCGAGTTAGTAAGTCAGTCAGTCCGAGTAAGCATGTAAACCAGTTAGTCCGAGTTAGTAAGTAAACAAGTCAGTTCGAGTTAGTATGTCAATCAGTCAGTCCGAATTAGTAAGTCAACCAGTCAGTCCGAGTTAGTAAGTCAGTCAGTCCTAGTTAGTAAGTCAACCAGTTAGTCCGAATTAGTAAGTCAGTCAGTCAGTCCGAGTTAGTAAGTCAACCAGTTAGTCCGAATTGGTAAGTCACTCAGTCCGAGTTAGTAAAGCAACCAGTCAGTCCGAGTTAGTAAGTGAGTCAGTCCGAGTTAGTAAGTCAGTCAGTCAGTCCGAATTAGTAAGTCAACCAGTCAGTCCGAGTTAGTAAGTCAGTCAGTCAGTCCGAGTCAGTCAGTTAGAAGTCGTCAGTCCGAGTAAGTAAGTCAGTCAGTCCGAGTTAGTAAGTCAGTCAGTCCGAGTTAGTAAGTCAACCAGTTAGTCCGAATTAGTAAGTCAGTCAGTCAGTCCGAGTTAGTAAGTCAACCAGTTAGTCCGAATTAGTAAGTCACTCAGTCCGAGTTAGTAAAGCAACCAGTCAGTCCGAGTTAGTAAGTGAGTCAGTCCGAGTTAGTAAGTCAGTCAGTCAGTCCGAATTAGTAAGTCAACCAGTCAGTCCGAGTTAGTAAGTCAGTCAGTCCGAGTTAGTATGTCAATCAGTCAGTCCGAATTAGTAAGTCAACCAGTCAGTCCGAGTTAGTAAGTCAGTCAGTCCGAGTTAGTATGTCAATCAGTCAGTCCGAATTAGTAAGTCAACCAGTCAGTCCGAGTTAGTAAGTCAGTCAGTCCGAGTTTGTAAGTGAGTCAGTCCTAGTTAGTAAGTCAGTCAGTCCGAGTTAGTAAGTCAACCAGTTAGTCCGAATTAGTAAGTCAGTCAGTCAGTCCGAGTTAGTAAGTCAACCAGTTAGTCCGAATTAGTAAGTCACTCAGTCCGGGTTAGTAAAGCAACCAGTCAGTCCGAGTTAGTAAGTGAGTCAGTCCGAGTTAGTAAGTCAGTCAGTCAGTCCGAATTAGTAAGTCAACCAGTTAGTCCGAGTTAGTAAGTCAGTCAGTCCGAGTTAGTAAGTCAATCAGTCAGTCCGAGTTACTACAGTTCGAGTTAGTAAGTCAGTCAGTCCGAGTTAGTAAGTCAACCAGTCAGTCCGAGTTAGTAAGTCAGTGAGTCCGCGTTAGTAAGTCAACCAGTTAGCCGAATTAGTAAGTCAGTCATTCCGACTTAGTATGTCAGTCAGTCCGAGTTAGTAAGTCAATCAGTCAGTACGAGTTAGTAAGTCAACCAGTTAGTCCGAGTTAGTAAGTCCACCAGTCTGTCCGAGTTAGTAAGTCAACCAGTTAGTCCGAGTTAGTAAGTCAGCCAGTTAGTCCGAGTTATTAAGTCAACCAGTCAGCCCGAGTTAGTAAGTCAACCAGTCCGAGTTAGTAAGTCAATTAGTCTGTCTGAGTTAATAAGTCAACCAGTTAGTCCGAGTTAGTAAGTCGACCAGTTACTCCGAGTTATTAAGTCAATCCGTCAGTCCCAGTTAGTATGTCAATCAGTCAGGCCGAGTTAGTAAGTCAGTCAGTCAATCCGAGTTAGGAAATCAGTTTCTCTGTCCCAGTTAGTATGTCAGTCAGTCCGTCCGAGTTAGTAAGTCAATCAGTCAGTGCGAGTCAGTCAAAATCTTACGAAGTTTGGGACTCACTCTCTACTGGGATGGACTGTCTATCGGGGAAATGGTAGTTGATGACGACCAACTTCCGGTTGAGCCTAGACAGGGCTTACCCCCTTGTGTGTCAGTTAGAGTCATTCAGCCCGAGTCAGTCAGAGTAAACAGTCACTCAGTCAATCTGTGAGATTTAATCAGTCAGTC